TTGGGTGTCCCTTCCCCCACCCCCACCCCCAGAGGTACGGGAGAGTTGGCATACAGCAAAAGTAAATCCATAGGCTCAATTCTGTGTCCTACTTCCTAAATTCTGGCTTTACTCACACACTTAAAGGGCTTTGTTGGATTTTTTTTTCTTTTTCTTTTTTTTTAAAATAAATCTTTATTGTTCAGATTATTACAAATGTGATCCTCTTCCCCCCTCAATTGCTCCCCTTCACCAGGTTCCCACCCCACCCTCTGTCCTTTCCCCATCCCCCATTGTCCTCATCCATAGGTGCACAGTTTTTGTTCAGTCTCTTCCCGCACCCCCACTCCCCTTTTCCCTGAGAATCGTCAGTCCACTCCCCTTCCATACCTCTGATTCTATTATATTCACCAGTTAATATTGTTCATCAGATTTTTAAGTTCCCTTGGTTTTTAGATTCACTTGTTGATAGCTATGTATTTGTTGATCATAATTTTTATCTTTATCTTCTTCCTCTTCCTAAATAACCTCCTTCAGCAATTCATATAATTCTGGTTTGGTGGTGGTGAACTCTTTTAGCTTTTTTTTATTTGTGAAGCTCTTTATCTGTCCTTTGATTCTGAGTGATAGCTTTGCTGGGTAGATTATTTTTGGCTGTAGGTTCTTGTTATTCATCACCTTGAATATTTCTTGCCATTCCCATCTGGCCTGCATGGTTTCTGTTGAGAAATCAGCTGACAATCTTATGGGTGCTCCTTTATAGGTCACTACCTGCTTTTCTCTTGCTGCTTTTAATATTCTCTCTGTCTTTTGCTCTTGGAATTTTAATTATGATATGTCTTGGTGTGGTTCTCCTTGGATTCCTTTTGTTTGGGGTTCTGCGGGCTTCCTGGACTTGTAAGTCTATTTCTTTCCCCAGGTGGGGGAAGTTTTCTGTCACTATTTCTTCTAGTACTCTTTCGGTATCTTGCTCTCTCTCTTCTGGAATCCCCATAATTCTGATGTTGGTTCGCTTGAAATTGTCCCAGAGGTTTCTTACACTTCCTTCAACTTTCTGGATTCTCTTATCTTCTCCCTTCTGCAGAGGAGTGTCCTCTGGCTCTTTGTGTTCTAAATCTTTGTCTTGATTCTTGCGATCTTCCAGTCTGTTTTTAGGACTTTGTATAATATTTTTTATTTCAGACAATGTTTTCTTCATTTCTTGTTGATCCCTTATTATTTCTAGTTGCTCCCTTTTCATATCCTCATAGGTCTCATTTATTTTATCGGCCTTTTTTAGGATATTGTTGAATAACCTTATAACTGTAGTTTTGAACTCAATGTCCAATCTTTTCTTTTCCTCCATCTCCTTCCTTTGTGTCCTTCTTCTTGTCTGCATTTTAGTTGTTTCCCTGATTTGATGGAATAGCTCTGTGTGCTAGGTGTTCTGGTAGAGCCCAGTAGCACAGCCTTCCCAGTTACCTGCAGTGGACAGTCTTGGTGTAGCCCTTTGTGGGCTGTGTGTGCAATCTTGTTGTTAAGCCTTGCTTATTGTTGGTATCACTGGGAAGTGTTGATCTCCAAGCCAGTTGGCTGTGAGGATCAGCAGTGTCTCAGCTAGGAGGGTTTCCGTACTCTGCTTGAATAGGGCGGGGGTCTCGGGGTGGCGCAGACAATCTTTGGTTCCCTGTCAATCTCGCCTTAGAAAAATCCTATTCGTGGAGAGTTTTGGAAGATTGGTTGCAGGCGCGCGCGCACCTCTTTGGTAAAGGCGCAGACAAGCTTTGGATTCCTGCAAGTCCCTCCTTAGAGAAAGCCAGCCTCTGGGAAAGCTTCTGTGCTCAGCCACAGGTAGGGCGGAGTCTCAGGTTGGTGCAGACAAACTTTGTTTTCCCTTCGGCTCCTCCCCAAGTCCTGCAGTAATGGCCTCTGGCTTCACACACCTCCAAGAGATCTCTGCCCACTGCCTGACAGTCTGGCCGCTCCCTGTCTGGGGCCGTTTATCAGAGCAATAGGGTGATTCTGTTTTCCTCTCGGACAAGAAAGCCAGCCGCGTTAGCTGTTTGCCCTCTCCGCACCAGGAGTAAGCCAGTAGCGAACTCAGCCCGGCCCGCCCTCTCTGCGTACAGGGAGTAAGCCAGCAGCAATCTCGGTCGGCCCTTCCTCTCCGCACCGGGATTAAGCCAGCGCCTTTTCGCGCACACAGTTCTCCGTACCTTCACAGTTCCTGAGGTTCAGCGTGCCTTCTCTCTCCTTCCCAGATGGCAGAGCCTCCTCTCAGCCAGCCGTCTGGCGCTTCAGGGCAATGCCTCCCCTGTTTTTCAGTTCTAAATTCAAATTTGTTGTGGTAGGCTGCATTCGGGTGTCTACCCTATGCCGCCATCTTGGTTTCTTTCCGCTTTGTTGGATTTTTAAAAAAATGTATTTTTATTGATTTCAGAGAGGAAGGGAGAGGGAGATAGAAACATCAATGATAAGAGAGAATCATTGATAGGCTACGTCCTGCATACCCACTAATGGGAATCGAGGCTGCAACCTGGGTCTGTGCCCTTCACTGGAATCGAACCCAGGACCCTTCAGTACACAAGCTGACACTCTATCCTCTGAGCCAAACCAGCGAGGGAAAGCTTTGTAGGATTGACCATAAGCAGATGACAAACAGAAGAAAAACTTTTAGGAGCTCCTTCAGAAGCTAACATAGTGCTTCTCAAACTTCTCAACACTTTCAGAATAAACTGAGGAATTCAATCCAGAGGACACTCACAGAGGGCCCCGGCTTACTTACACGCTGGTCCTGCGGCACTGTTTTAAAGTATAAAAATGCAGAACACCTACATACCAGTCATTAGGGAAAAGGATAATAAATTACCTTTTAAAGTAAAACGTAAGAAAAAGCAAATGGTTAAATGTTTTTCAAAGAAGCTAGTCTACTAACTATCTTGTAGCTTTCATTTGCTACAAAAGGTATCTCAGCAGACAGAAATCTGAGATTTAATCTGTAGTAACTGCTTACAGCACTAGAAACTGCCACTCACACAGGAAGATTTCCCCAGGGTAACAAGGAATACAGCCAGTGGCTGGTGTTAGGAAGCTAGAGTCAAGGGTGAGATATCTCTAATCAACCCTTTATTAAAAAAAAAAAAAAAAAATGCTTAAATAGGTATAAAAAAATTCAACCTTTTTTTTTTTTTTTCCTGGGCATTATATTTAAAAATGTATTGCCCAAGTATTACTCATGATAATAAAAAAGTGAAATCAACTCAAATGTCCAGCAACTGGTATCTTTACACAGCGGAATCTTACTCGGCCATAAAAGAAAGGAAGCACTGATACATGCCTCAGCCGCGATGAACCCTGGAAGCATGTGCTACGTAAAAGAAACCAGACACGAAAGACCACGTATTCTATGATTCCAATTATAACAAATGTTGAGAATAGGCAAATCCAGAGACAAAAAGTAGATTAATGGTTGCCAGGAGCTAGAGCAATAGAGAATAGGAACTGACTGATAGTGGGTACAGGATTTCTTTGAGGGGTAATAAAAATGTTCTGGAATTTATTGTGGTCGTACAACTCTATGAACATACAAAAAAACCACCGATTTATACAATGTAAATTAGAAAATTGTACAGTATATAAACTGTATGTCAACAAAGCTGTTTCTGGAGGAAGGACCTAGATAAATAGATAGGTAGATTAAATAAATAAATAAATAAACAAACAAACAAACAAACAAACAGATAGGTAGGTAGTAAGGTAGATAATGTATTGCTCAATGTTCCATGATGTGGCATGCAGGTCAGTATCATTATGATGTAACGTACACACGTATATTTGAATCCTGGTGAAAATCTTATCAGTTTGCCACTTGAAGAATAGTTTTTACTTATTGAAGACCCAGTCTCCAAAATCCATAAATGCCCAATTTATTTGGAGCTTTCCTAGCATGTAATAGTAGATAATGAAAACCTGTAATAGTCCCAGGATGATACCCCATCATAATGAGCCTTGCAAATGGGGTCTCTTTTGGACAGACATGCAGAAATTGAAGTAACTGCCTGGGTCCTCCCAAAGAGAGTGAGTTAAGAGTGTGTGTGTGTGTGTGGGGGGGGGGGGGCCCCTCCGCGTTGGAGAGTTTGGGAACATGTTCTAAGAGTTTGCGGTGCTTTCTGCTGACCCCTGGGGAGGCTCACTGATGAGATATCCCAGGGGACCCACTACTCTTTCCCTTCCCAGGCTTCACTGTTCATTTTTGTTGTTTTAAAAATATTTTATTTTTATTGATTTCAGAGAGGAAGGAAGAGGGAGAGAGAGATAGAAACATCAACGAGAGAGAATAATCATGGATTGGCTGCCTCCTGCACAACCTACACTGGAGATTGAGCCCACAACCCAAGCACATGCCCTGTTCAGGGATCAAACAGTAACCTCTTGGTTCATAGGTCAACGCTTAGCCCCTGAGCCACGCCAGCCGAGCTCAGTCTTCAATGTTTTGTGTACATGTCTTATCTCCCATCTGGACTACAGGCTGCTAGAGGGGGCCACTATGTCAGTTCCACTTTGCCAGAATTTAGCAGACTTCAATATAACCAGCAGATGCTAAGAAATAAATTCATAAAATAGATAACTCTAGGAAAAACAGATATGACATAGAAGAATTCCCCACTTTACAAAAATGATTCACTGAACAGTTTCTTTAGGCAACCAACTCCCACACTAGACATAAAAGATGAAGTTGATTTAGGAAAAGACCTGCTTACCCTTGGCACTTTCCCAGGAATCGGTGCTAAGAGCGTACCATGTAAAACCAGGCTTGCCGTCAACAAGTTCTTGCCTTCCCTGCGAGCAGATGCTGCGAAGACTCCCTTCCCCACACTGAGCCCAGACAGACAAGATGCCAGTGGAGGACACCTTCTAGACCCTCAAGCCAGAGACGGGACGGCTGAAGCGAAAGCCTCTTCACGCCCAGGAGCTGCCCAGATCCCACGAGCAGAGATCCAGCATCTTGGCGGAGGGTGAGCGCCCACAGGGGTGGCCCTTACCTCGGGAATCAGCCGCCGCCGCTTCACGCTGGAGACAGAGTCCGGCTGGCCCTCGCTGCCCGGCTGCTTGCGCTTGCTGGAGTCCTGGAGGGAGGTGAAGGCACTGTCCAGAGGGTGCTTCTCCGAAGACCTGGAATTCACTGAGCAGTCCAGGGCAGCATCCCCCGCCTCCGTCTCCACTTTCACGGTGCTATTGTTTAGAACTGCGGCAGAGGAGAGAGGAGTTCAGCGGGAGAAGACCGTGGGCGGCTCAGAGACCAGCGGGGTCTCTCCCCGCACCCACCTGCCCGGTGACAGGCTGTTTGTGGGCCGCCCTCTGACACGACCACTCGGTGATCAAGTCTGGTCACAATAAAACTGCACCTTCCAACCAAGGCGTTTTTATCTTTCCACACTGGCGCTACACAATGAAACCCCGTCGTCCCAAGAACATTTTGTTCGAAACTGGGTTTGAAGTCTTTTTGGAGGGTGGGGGAGAGAGAGGAGACGGAGGGAAAGAAACACTTCTAAATGATTCCCTTAGAAAAAGTAACCCTGGAAAGACACATGGACAAGGCACCAGGGCAGGGAGACTTTTCGCTGACTTCTCATTTTGTATAATTTTTATATTTTTGAACCCTGTGAATGTATGGCCCAATAATAGGATTACGTTAAAAATAATTTTAGTAAGTTGTTGTTGTTTTTTACCTTCTTCTACATCTTCACCGAATTCAGCTGAGTTCATCTTCTATTCCACTACATGAAAAGACAAAGACAAAGTCTTGATTTATTGCTTGATTTATTTCTTAATTTTTCCCTCCCCGAGAGACATTCCCTTCCCCTCCCGACCCTGGCTCTGGAGAACAGAAGGTGAAGCCCACGTGGCTCAGCAGCGTCGTGGAAAATCGCATCCCCTTATTCTTGTTTACAGTTGCTCAAGGTATACAGGCCTTCTGTGCACCTGCAGGGGTCGCTTCTCCAAGACTCTGCGTGGGCCCAACGGGTCTTCCAGCTCCAACCGAGAGCGCTTATGGAGCAAGGGGAACGTTACTGAAGAAGAGCGGTCTTTTTACAGACTCCAGTGTAAGTCATCCGTTCGTCCCCGCTTTATAAATCCCAGCCACAAAAACGAAAAGGCTGGCCAAGGATGCCAGCTGTGGACCCTGCGGACCGAACTGAGGTCTTAGGACTCCAGGGGTCCCGGGAGACCTGTGCTGCCCATCAGCGCAGCTGCTGACCATGGAGCTACTGAGGACTGGAAACGTGGCTGTTCCGAGTGGAGACACACACTCTGAATTTCAAAGCCTCAGGACAGCTCAAAGAAGGTATAATACTTTTTTATATTGACTGCATGTTGAAATGATTACATTTTTGATTTATCGGGCTAACTTAAATACTTTATGAAATTAATCCCATCTTATTTAATGTGGCTACTAGAAAGCTTTAAATGACATCATGTGGCTTGCATCACATTTTTATGGGATGGTGCTGGTCTAGCCTTCCCTTCAGAAACAACTCTCTCTTTCAGAGAAAGAGGTGCTGTGGGTTTTTATAGCTCCCGGGTTCCACACCATCTGGTCCAAACCCTTCTTTTTTATTGACGAGGGAATGTGAAGGGCGGGGTGGAAGGCGCCCTGCGTGGGTTTCAGGGCCTGGTGCAGGCTGGCCTGACTCCCACTGCCCCAGCTGGAATGGAAGGGACACGAGGACTAAAAGCACTACTAAATCTCCGAGATTCCCTAGTTTAAATACCAGCAAGCCCATAACAACAACAGGAATAAATGAGTTAGCGCGAAAGCATACACGGGACAGCCTTTGCTGTTGACATTGGGGAGCTGTGGTTCCCACAACTGATGGATGCAAATATCAGTCTCACTCTGGTTAAGGATCCGGAGAGCAGGACTAAGGAGCATCGCTCAAGAAATTTCTATAAGGCCAAAACCGGTTTGGCTCAGTGGAGAGAGCGTCGGTCTGTGGACTGAAGGTCCCAGGTTTGATTCCGGTCAAGGGCATGTACATTGGTTTCGGGCACATCCCCAGTAAGGGGTGTGGCAAGAGGCAGCTGGTCAATGTTTTTCTCTCTCACTGATGTTTTTAGTTCTTTTATCTCTCTCCCTTCCTCTCTGTAAAAAAAATCAATAAAATATATATATTTTTTAAATTTCTATAAGGAAGAGGGATGCCATCTACAAAGCCCAGGCAACCATCCCCTGAGGCGCTGTGGGATGGGGTGTGGTCCTGTGTTACAACGGTGAGCCGGGGGATGGGGCAAGACAGAAGGAGCATGTACGTGACCTCGGCCCAGGATGACTTCCAGACTCACTAATAACAGCCCCTCGGGCACGGTGCTTATGACGGGACGCACTGCTCTTGGAGCGCCACATGGCTTTACGACAGGCACAATTCTTTCAGCCCCCGCGCTGCTCATTTTCAGAGTCAGAATGAATAAGAACATTTAAGCTTTATTTGAAACTGAAATTAACACTAAAAATAATTCCTACTTACCAAAAACTATCTCCTATCGGGAAAACATAACACACAGGTGATACTGAGGGAAAATAAACAGTAAGTACACTTCATTAGTCCAAGAACTGATTCGACCAGTGGTGATTTCTAGCAAATACACCTTCCTCTGTATTCCTCCGTGTCCCAGGCGAGTAAGCCCCTTGCTTGATGGCATCACCTGCTCTGGGCGCCTCTGAGGGAGGCATCGGCAGGAGGCAGGAATTTCCCATTTGCAGGCCAGCCCACCACTGCACTTGGGGCAGGAGGGTGAGCAATGGTAGGCAGAAATCCAGCCTCGTCAGGGGCCTCTCAAGGGGATGCACCTCAGGCTTCACCCGGAGGCCCGAGTGTGGCAACTGCCTTTGGAAACCTGCCACAGGGTCATATAACCAGTTCCCTCAAGTCTAGGGCAGAGGTGAGAGCAGCAGAGCAGTGAGAAATGGGAAAAGGAGAAAATGCCGGTGGAGGGGGTACACTATACAAAACAAGGCACATTCTGAAGAGAAAAAGAGGGAGAGAGAGGAGATGGAGGATAATTTTTTTGGGGGGAAAGGGGTCAAAGTGGGAGAAAACCACAAAGACTCTGGCTAAGCAGAAAGCTTTAAAAGGAGTAAATCCGCCAAAACCGGTTTGGCTCCAGTGGATAGAGTGTCAGCCTGCAGACTGAAAGGTCCCGGGGTTCAATCCCGGTCAAGGGCATGTACTGTGGTTGCGGGCACATGCCCGCTGATCGATATTTCTAACTCTCTATCCCTCTCTTTTTCCTCTCTGTAAAAAATCAATAAAATATATATTTTTAAAAATAAAAATAAAATAAAATAAAAGGAGTAAATCCTAGCAAACAAAGCAGAAGCCAATGAGAAAAACACATCAACAACCGCAAGTGCTGAGCAAGGACGGAATCGCCGTCCAATAGTACGTCCACCCACCTCTGAGCATGAGGCCTGGAGTCATGGGCTGGGTGTGGCCCCTGCAGGGTTGTGGCTCAGTGAGCAGGAAGGGTATTTTCTGAACCACCTTCACATGACACACTGCAGGCAACCCCGCACCCGAATTCTGAGCTCCTAGGATTATCCTGTCAGGAAATCATAAAGGAGCAGCACACACCTGAGCCACCTGTGGTGAGGGAAAGCAGGGGGGGGGGGGGGGAGCTAGAAGGCTCACAGCAGGGGCAGGGAGGCGGGATGGGAGAGGCTGGCTTTTGAGCATTCAAGATGCCCAGAGTGCATCTGCTTCAGAAAACATGTCTGTGGTGCATCTGCCTTGGAAAACACGTCCGTGTTCATTTACAGACCAGGGACAGATGCTGCCTTAGCCCAGAAGAGGCCCAGAACCCAGAATGGCAGGCCCTTTCCTCCCAGCCAGCAAAGAGGCCGTGCTCTTTGGGAAGCTGGGGAATTTCCCATGTGCAAGGCCTGGAAAACCCACAACTACGTGGTAGGGAGGGAGCTGAAGGTCCTCATTAACATCTGCAGCCCTGAACTGCGCCCAGACACCGCTGGCCACTGCGCATCTCCATCTCCCCGAGTTATCTGAATCCCAATTTTACCAATAAGGAAACAATTTTACCAATACCTCAAATATACACAATTTCTATTTGTCACTGAAGCTGAAAAAAAAATACTTTTAAAGTTTTTTTTTTTACTTTTTTTTTTTTTTAGAGAAAGAGGGTGAGAAACATAGATCAGCTGCCCCCGTCATGCCCCCTACTGGGGACTGAGCTGGAAACCCTGGGATGTGCCCTGACCAGAATCAAACCAGTGACCTCACAGTGCACGGACCACGGCCGACCAACCAAGGCACATAGCCAGGGCTGGGAAAGTCCTTTTTAACATTTTGATTAAGGAAATAGAATATTTGAATACTGGAAAGGGGGGAAAGGGGGAACGGAGGGCAGGTAACCTGCCAGTGTCACACACTGTCAAGTGGCAGAAGTAGTGCTGAAGCCCAGTCTGTGTCTCTCTCCCGTCAGCCGCCAGGAGAGGAACTACAGGGAGAATCCTCAGCTTTCTGTTGAGGTTCCCCTGCTGAACATGGGCCCAATTTTCAGCCTTCGATTTCTCGGTCCAACAGCAGCTGGAGCATGCAAATCCTTCATCTGCAGGCAACCACCTGGAAACCTGTGTGCCCTGTGCTCATGAACAGAAGTTTCTACCAGAGGTGTGGGTCACTCCAGGCATCCTGGGCGGGCGCAGCGACGGCACATCCACGTCAGGGCTGCAGAGCAGGGACCGATACAGTGTTTGCTACCTCAGCTTCCTGGTTATCTGCGACGCCAAGGTCACACGGGGCTGCTCATCCTGGGTGGATGCGGAGGATCCGGATGCCAGGCGTGCCGCAGACATTCCTTCCTTCCGCTACTTAACTACAGGTTACGGAGGAGCCACCCGCCACCACGGCTCCCGCCCACCCAGGCTGCTCAGGCTGCAATCTCTCCTTTGCCTGCTGGACTCTGTAGCATTTCTCTTGCTAACAGTCTCTCTCCTTTTTAAAAATCTTATTTCTCTCGCCACAATCTCAAATTGTGAGGCCATCGATGCATCCACAGGGTTCCTGAAAATCGGCTCTCTTCCCAAGGGGTGGCTGTTCTACATCCCTTAAGAACCTCTGACCGAGCCCAAGGGAAGATGATTCAATGGAATGAAGGGGACGTGTGTCAACAAGACCCGTGCAGCTAGCTGCTGCTTCCAGTTAACCCAGCACAGGCTCTAAGGCATCAATGAGCCATCGAGGGTAACTCTCAAACAGAACTAATCTCCAGTGGTTAATCTAATAAGTGAAATGTTCTTTAAAACAGACACACACACACACACACACACAGCTTAGGAAGCCTGAGGCAAAGTGACTGTCATTGTGACAGAAAGGTCTGCAATGTTGCAGGGCACGCAGGAGTATATATAATTTTATTAAAATGCTTCCTGGTCTCTCTTTATCCTTCTGCACAGAGTCAGATGGACAATATTCAATTTTCCACGGACGGGTATAATTCTGTTTGTGGCTGAGGGAAGATCAGGATGTTCTCAGAAAAGCCTTTAGTTTACAAAAAGCACAAAAGAGGCGGTGAAAAGGTAATCCCAAATGTTCACGAGTAAGATGCTTTAGCCACTCAAATCTCAAATTACAAAGGATACGTTGCTTAAAGTGGCTGCATAAATGTACCAGCTAGTGGAGCTGCTCCTGTGCCTCATGCTGAAATGAGGCTGGATCTAAATCCCAGCTATCAGCAGGCACCTGGCTGGGGGCTGGAAAGA